TCTCTCTCTCTCTCTCTCTCTCTCTCTCTCTCTCTCTCTCTCTCTCTTTTTGTCCTCACCTCTCCACTTTTAAGAATTTGTGTGTTTAGGGGTACCTGGCTGGCCCTGGGTGGTCGGTTGAGCATCTGACTTCGGCTCAGGTCATGATCTCACGGATCGTGCGTTCGAGCCCTGCATCAGGCTCTGAGCTGTCTGCACAGAGCCCAGAGCCTTCTTCAGATTCTGTATCTCCCTGTCTCTCTCCCCTTCCCCTGCTCATTCTCTGTCTCTCTCTGTCTCTGTCTCTGTCTCTCTCTCTCTCAAAAATGACCATTAAAAAACTTAAAAAAAAAAAAAAAGAAAGAATTTGTGTGTTTAGATTGGGTCCACATGGATCACCAAGGATAATTTTCCCATCTCAAGGTCTGTTCCCTTAATCACATCTGCAAGGTCCATTTTGCCACAAGATAATACATTCACAGTTCTAGAGATTACTGTGTGGACATCTTTAGGGAGCCAATGTTCTGCTTACCACATACATACACACAAACATCTGGTTATTTGCAGCATGACTCACCCTTGATGATAAATTCCTTGAATTTAGGTGATAAGTTCCTTGAATATAGAGCACATACTTTAGGCATTCCTGAGTCCTGCTTAGCATACAGCACATTATTTTATATATATTAAATATGTATTTTTTGGTTTATAACTATACCTCATTTCTTTAACACCAAACTAACAATAGACATACAATCACGTATTTTTTAAATCTTGAGTTTGTTGTCTATACACAGTAAACGGTGAATAAACTACCTGACTTATCTTTACATGGATCATAACTGCTTTGCTTACAGAGTTCTAGAGCACAGCAAAGACTTATGGAATCTTCCCTCATTCTTTCTGCTTTCCATTTTCAGTTTCCATTCTGTTATATAATATCAAAATGCTTTTCTGGCCACTCAAGAGATATGAAATTAGTTTAGGTATGCCATCTAATGGCATTTTAAGAAAGTATTCATTTTTCTTTGATACTTCGTTTACTTGAGTATAGCCACCATCATGAGTAAGAGATGCTAAACAAAGCAATGGGAAACTGAAGTTTGCTGATGATATGAAAACATCATTCTAACTAGTAGTATAAATCCCCTCTAGCTCAACTTGAACCAAAGTTGTAATGAAGAGAAACCTTTCTGATTTGAAGTCTTTTACAAATTCTTATTAATCAGACTCCAGTGACTGATTTAATTTCCTGATTAGCTTACTTAAATTGAAAACTATTTGGTTCCATCTCCAATATGCATTGTGTTAAGTCCCTGCCAATCATTGATTATAATTATGTAGCATCATGGAAAACGAAGGGCAAAGACCTCAAACTAGACTGTGCATTACAGTCTCCTGGAGAGCTTAGAACAGTGACAGCATGCCCGGCCAGGAAGAGATCTGATTGGTCTGGGGTGGGACCTAAATATCCCAAAGCCCTGAGTGAGTAGAATGTACAGCCAGTTAAGAACCTGGGCACTGGTATGAGATGTAGCTGAATCTCTAATACTTGTTCTTTTCCCTGAATGAAAAAAAAAAACACCCAATAATATGGAATGATTGAGTTATTATTTATCTCCTTTTCTACCAAAAAAAAAAAAAAAAAAAGTAGAAGTAAGAAAAAAACCTGGGAAAAGTATTCTAGTCATTAGGCTTTTCTTTAATAAGAGTTTTGCTTTATTTCTTCTCTTTACCCCTTTTATTGAGATGCCATCAAACAGGAAAAGCACCAAAAGACATGCCGTCATGGGCTAAAGGCATTAGTACATATGATGTTTCAACTGGGATTTTTAAAAATATTTTAAAGAACTTACAAAGACAAGAAATCTTCTACCCTAGTGGCCCATTCCTTTCATTTTCTGAGTCCTGCCCAGTCCCAGGGGCTCTGGGATATGAGGTCAATTCCAGACCAGCTTTAACTGTTTGGGCTCACTCAACATATAGGATGGAACCTGTAGGTAGCTTCAGGTGTATTGTGATAACAAAATTCTTCAATTTAGTAATGGGTTCACCGGTACTCATTTTATTATGCTTCATAACTTATAAATATATTCTCTAGAATGTATCAAATGTTTTGTGATACTTTTTTTTTCAATAAAGGAATAGCTCTAAACCCTAAGAAAGATGTTAGAAGTTTAATTACTTTAAACAGGAAATATTTGAGGACCCACCTAATCTTCCAAAATTTCTACAGATTATGTTTCTCTCTAGCCTGTCCCAGTTAAGATCAGAACTCAAGTAGCTTTAAGGTGGAAAGCTGCTTTAATAGTGTTGATCTACATTCTTTTTATCATCCTTCCTTGAAATTAGAAGATAAATAATAAAGTATATCCTGATCAATAAAGAAAAACTAATCATCCTAACCAAACACATGTTGGGAGAATCAAACTGCATGGGCCATTCCTGTACTTTTTGCTGGGTAGGCCAAGGATATAGGGTCTGACTGTTCTTTACATGGGCCATTACTCAGGGTTGTGTTTGCAGTGAGAAACCTTGAGAAATGAAGTAACAAGTCTTACCCAAGAGCAGCCTGGCTGACCAGTCACGGTAAAAGTAGTAGATTCCATAGCTCACTGTTCCTCCGCTGTGTCCCGAACCCATTGTACCCACCTCAGCATCCAATTAAGCCAACCTGCATGCCCTCTTGAGACTTGAGGGGCACAGGGAAAACTCATGCCAACCTCAAGCTCATGCTGCTTACTGTGCTATGAGTAGTGAAGTCCTCTGTCTCTGATGGAAGTGTCTCCTGTATTCTGCCAGCGTCCAATAAATAGTAACAGGCTAATTTGTTATCTTGCAAATAGGATAAAATCCCACACCCTTCACATATCCTGACTTCAAGGGAATGGATGTAAAAATCTATAGTTTCCAAAGATCTTGGACAAAAGACTCTCTGGGCATATGACATTCTTGGCTGGTTCATATGCCTAATGTTTAATCTCCCCTAGGCCACTTTTCTATGTTACAAAAATTCAGTTTCCATTCTTTAAATTGTCCCATTCCCCCAAAAGAAATCGTTGTCCTGCACAGGACACTCTTAATAGCAATCATGGCAGCAACCATGAATACTTATAAAGTGAAAGACACTGTTTTGAGGACTTGAGGCATTGTCCCATATACTCTCTTTACACGACCATCATTATCCTCAAAGCAACCTTGTGAAGGGGATACTGTTACCTCCAGTTTATAAACCAGGAGGCTGAGGCACAAGTCATACAGTTAGGGGTAGAGATGGGATTCAAACCTAGCTGGTCTGTCTTTAGTCCTCACTTTTAACCACTCACCATACTGCCTCACAGTAGGACCTTCTATCCCCAGGGCCATAATGAACCCCAGAAGCCAAGAGATCTTTGTTTGAAACCTTAGGAAAATAATTTCAGTCAAACCTTTACAACGTTTCATAATACTTCCTGACAATTAGGCAGTTAGACAATATCAGGCAATTAGACAGTCTTCTACTTTGCTACTTCTACTTTGCTATCAGCCTATGTCTAAATCCAGTGTCAAGTTTTCACAGTGTGTATTAATTTCCTATTGTTGCTATAACAAATTATACTTGAAGCTTAAAACAGCATAAATTTATTATCTTATAGTTCCAGAGTCAGAAATCCCAAGCGGGCTGTGGGACTGTGTTCCTTCTGGGCTCTAGGAAAGAATCCACATCCTTGCCTTCTCCAGCTTCTAGAGGCTACCTGAATTCCTTCTTTGGCCCTTCACTCTATCTTCAAAGCCAGCAGTATAGCATCTTCAAATCTTTTTTTTTCTCTCTGACTTTGACCCTCTGTCCTCTCCTACCCCTTATTTTTTTTTAACATTTATTTATTTTTGAGACAGAGAGAGACAGAGCATGAATGGGGGAGGGGCAGAGAGAGAGGGAGACACAGAATCCGAAACAGGCTCCAGGCTCTGAGCAGTCAGCACAGAGCCCGACGCGGGGGTCGAACTCACGGACCGCGAGATCATGACCTGAGCTGAAGTCGGATGCTTAACCGACTGAGCCACCCAGGCGCCCCATCTCTACCCCTTATAAGGACCATTGTGATTACATTGGGCCCATCCAGATAATCCAGAATAACCCAGGAGCTTCCTTAGCTCAAACTCCTTAACTTAATCACATTTCAAAGTCTCTTTTGCCATGTAAGGCAACATATCCACAGGAGGTTAGGATGCACATATTTGGTGAGGAGAGGGGCATCATTCTACCTCCCCTACACTCTAAGCAGTCACGTCTTCCTTTGGTATGGAAATTTTTATACTAGGATCTAGACTGGAGATTTAAACACGCCCATTTACCAGATAATTAGTAATCCATTTCATCTTGGCTCCGAGGATAGAGGCCCATGAGCATTTTACCTTTTGGGGCCAAAGAGAACAATACTGCTGGAGTATGTCATAGAAACTTTAACCACTGTAACAACATAAAAACTTAATTGTTTGAAAATGTACCTGGAGTCGAGCATTCATAAGCATAAACTCCTGTTGGTTTTTCATGTTTTCATTCATAGATTTTGAGAATATAAACCCCATCTTCACCTAAAATGTAAAAAAGCAATGAGGCTTAAAATGATATATTCTACATGTATCCTCATATAGGATGCTTTGGACTGCCCATATAACAAATACCAGATACCAGATACCATATAAAAATGTAAAAAAATAAATAAATAAAATTCTGAGCTAGGAACACAGTGTGGATTACAGTCCTTTCTTCTAAGTAGCTGTCTGATCTTGGGCAAACTTAACCAGCATGGCCAACATTTGCTAGCCTACGGCCAGCTGACTGAACAAAGATGATTTCAGAATCTCCTCCTTCTCTCTAGGTATACAGCTCCATGTTTCCTGATTTTGCTTCCCACTGTAAATCTTGAAGAACTGAATACTTAAAAACAAACAAACTAAAAGATCACTCTCTCTTCTGTGAGGGACAGTTGTATAGACCTTCTATACAACTGGATGACAGAAACTTTGCTTCTGAGAAGGGATGATTCAGAAGATGCACTGAGGACACCTTGAAGACAGATTTCTCTGTGCTCCTTGCATTTGTGTTTAGGAAGTTTTAGGTGTTTCCAGGTCACTATGTCAACACTCTTCCTGTGATCCCTGGCCCTCTCCTATATAGCCCTATTGTGTCACCCACTGGTGATATCCCTTGGCCATCCTCTTCTGGCTTCACCTTTCTTCTCTTCAGCTTCTACTGAAGGTCTCAAGAGGGGAAGAACATAATGACACTTAAATGTCCTGGGAAAAGCAATTTTTAAATGAATACATGGTATTGCCTATCTTATTTATCATGCTTAGGAAGTTCTTAAGTGCTCTATCACTTCTAGGGAGCCAAAATTTCAATTTTTTGTTCTTAATCCAATTGGGTAGGTACAGAAGGCCTTCGGTTTATTATTAATTTTACTTTCAGAAGATTGAAAAAACTTAGGGGAGCTACCACCGCTCTCCCCTCAATAATAGTGCTGATTCTCTTTGGTAGGCTACCAAGCAGGTTGTGAACCTCATGTTGGATCGACCAGCCTCAGTGCTTTCCAACGGACCCACACTCTTCTGTAGGAAACCCAGCAGAGCTTATGCTTTTCACAGCCTTATCATGAAATAGTGGGTTCTGGCTAGCTGGGGAGAAGATGCTGGGGGAGGGAGGCAATTTTGTGCCAGGTGGTAGAATAGTTATCCTTGCTAACTAGGTTCCAGGCGAGTGGGCACTCCAAGCCAGACTTCAGTGACTTCCCTGTATTCTTGCCAAAGATGCATTCTTGATTTACAGGGACCTCAGAGCCAGAGTCAGCCTCAGTGCTGGGCATAGGAGGCTGAACAACTCACTGGAGAGAAGAGGCAGGTCATGAGGTTTCTCTTCCCCTCTGCCACAGCCCCACTCCGTCCCCTGTCCAGAGAGTTAGAAGCCACCCACTGAGGGTAGGGAGATGTAACAGAAGTTCTTTCCTTTTTCTGAACTTTGGCACCCCGAGTCAGTTGTCTGCAACAGCAGGCCAGAACTTGCTTGAAGGAAGTAGCAATATATTATCCATCTTGGAAGTCCCCATGATGTCTTTTTCCCATAAATGTTTTCATAGAACATGAGTGATACAAGAGAAATCAAGCTTAGGTCACTTGCCATTCTTTTTTTTTTTTTTTTTTTTTTTTT